TACCTGCTTCCATATAATGTAATCGCTACCCACGCCTGTTATGACTGCATACTAACGAACACACGTCACTAAAATACCTGTATCAGATATTATAGACTGCGATATGCATAACAAACTTTTAAAAAAAACTCAGCCCATGAGAAAAATCATCGCAAAACATGTTATTCTGCGTAGAGGTGGTTTATGAGAAGTTATATTAAACGATGCCCATGTTTTAATTCTAAAAGAAATATTAAATTAGTTTACACCTTAAATTGTTTTCATCTTTATAATCTTTTTATTAAAGTTTATACGAAAAATATCTGTCAATTCGTCTTTGTTTTATCTGGTAAATAAGTAATGTGAATCTATTTACACATTGGATCAATGATTTTCTTTTGTTTGATTCGACAACTTCGGTATACTCGAACTTAACCATTATGCAGGGCAAATTATAAAACTCGTATACGCACAACCACAGAGGTAGCCCTCTTTCTTACTTAACAGTTTCCGATATAAAGGAAGCAATAAGGTCTAAAGTAAGTCCAGAACTTCTTTATCCGTAAAGCCACCGCCGACTCTTCGTAGACCGCGTAACTTATCAATAGATCTACTACTACTAGTACTACAACCCAAACGTCGAAGGCACATCAAACCGTGATACTACACCCACGCCAAATAGAACAAACACAAGTAGGATAACGGATGGACGGTCGTACTAGTCGGTTACAACGCATTCCAGCACACAACGCGTATACACCGTACACTCGCGCACCTGGTTGGATCTCACCGCCAAGAACATCAACCGATACGAGCTAGGCAGTCAGAGACGGGGGTCCGCACTTCCCCACTCGGACAGCGGTTAGATAGCTCAAGAACCATCACAGAGGAAACATGATGATTGGAAACATTACTAAATCATAAACCATCATCATCATCATTCTAATCACTGTAGCCTTTCCCTTTTTAATCAGCTAGCCCTGAGTCAAATGAAGCTGTAAGAACGTATAGGCTAACTACACCAATATCACAGAAAATAGAAAAGTCTAAAGCACGGTTGGATGCAACGTCAGAAAAGTGAGCGATCACATGAACGCTACTGAAAACCATACAGATTTGATGAACATGGTTCCAACTGATATTCGACCACACAGCATATTATTAAGAAGTCAATTTCAATGGTTACTGTCTCATAATCTCACACAGATTGGTGAGACTAGTGTAGAAAAAGAAATCAAACGTATAGAAGCAAGACTGTACTTTGTGTCAATACATATTTGGTGGAAACCTGTGTACGCTGTACACAGGTTTACTTCAGTACACTTCTGATGGATGGTTAATTGTAGGTGATTAATAAAGCATTGTAAACAGGTAATGTTTAATGCTATGTTTGAAAATGTTTCATAAAACCTTCTCTTTCGTTATATGTAACTATCATTTTTTATCTATTTTGATGATATAATGCCGGCTCTACACTGATTGTCCAACCGTTGAAGGTTTGGTCAATCGCTCCAACATACGATATAGGACTCTTTTATGTCAATTCGTAATTAACATCCGCCGCCTTCCTTTTCATTAGGGTTTTATTTCTGCATCTTCTTTATGGAAGAACGGTTTGTTGTTTCAACTAGTTAGCTAAGGTCCGGCGAACATTTGGCGAACAGACGATCGTATAGTGTCAGCATAAGAGTATAACTAAATATTTGGTAATCAAAAAATAGGATATGGCAACCCTAACTAAGATAGTTCAGTCACGTTCACGAATCAAGATATCGACAAATCGATTGTGGCTGAGATAAGTGTGTAGTAGCACGATTTTATCGCCGTTTAGTACATCTCTGGGAAGTTATTAACGATGGCCGCCCGAGCAAGATAGATAGAGTTATTTTTTTACGAACGACTGTATCGATGATCAATGATATTCGTTTAAGAAAAAAACTTAAACATTCTTAACGTGAATTTATGATAAAGAATGAGGTTCAACATATTACCCTAACGTACGGTGCAAGTTAAATAATATATTCCGCTTTTAGTTTTATAATACGCTGTAATGTTCCAAGATTTTTCCTCTCTGATGCTTTTAAAAATTTTAGATTTCAGCAATAAAATTTTATACTTATTTTCTCTTAGATTCTAAACGTCAATTAGTTTTAGAAAATCAGTAGCAAATAAACTTAGAAAATGTCTTAGGATTTTTATGATAATCGTTGATCCATGTTCCGTCCGTGTAATCCAGTTTTAATAGTCATTTATCCTGAAGCATTACGCCAAATTTGCACAGTGACACTAAAATGTTCCGAAAGACACTCCCTGTAGTTATATGTAGATAAATGGACGCGACAAAACAGAAAGGAGACCAAAGTGAGTAAGTAATAATGGACTAATTAATAAATTGTGACGATCAAATACAGAACTTTTCGCACAGAGGAGACTTATACTCAACGGTAAAGTAAACAGATGCTTATTTTTATTTAATATTGAGCTCGTTAGTGCCTTTACGAAGTCGATCTTGACAGGATCATATAAATCGGAGCGTTTTGGCTAATTTTAATGCTTTACTTATCCACGAGTGCTGTCAAGAAACCTAGAACGTTGTAATTTTAAATCGCATTAAAGAAAACAGTAAATTATAAATACAATAGTATAGGGTATGTAATTTAGAAGTACACTCCATAGTATAGGGTTTTAATCGGTATGAGTCCGACATAACCTGTCCTTGCCTTGTTTTGTAGACAAATGGTGGCTTGCTCTATTTTTTAGTTTCGCAGTCGCTATCCAACCTACTAACTCTTAGATAACTGTTGCTTATTTCTATTTTTAACGTGGTATGTCTTTAAATTTGCTTCCATAGTGAGAGGCTTTTCAGAAAACTGATGATAACTATTGAATTTACGAGCTAATATAAGAGGAAATTTATCTATTATGGCAAATTCTTGCACGAAAGCGATCCGTATCCAGCAGTGGATGATTTACAGAACGTTGATGTGAAGTGGAGGTATTTTAGAAGTATGTGTGACAAACACAGTGAACTTGAAGCCAGTGGATGCTGTAGCCAATAGACACCCTAGATCTTTCCTCAATTACTTTTAGAAGTATGTGTGACAAACACAGTGAACTTGAAGCAAGTGGATGCTGTAGCCAATAGACACCCTAGATCTTTCCTCAATTACTTTTAGAAGTATGTGTGACAAACACAGTGAACTTGAAGCAAGTGGATGCTGTAGCCAATAGACACCCTAGATCTTTCCTCAATTACTTTTAGAAGTATGTGTGACAAACACAGTGAACTTGAAGCAAGTGGATGCTGTAGCCAATAGACACCCTAGATCTTTCCTCAATTACTTTTAGAAGTATGTGTGACAAACACAGTGAACTTGAAGCAAGTGGATGCTGTAGCCAATAGACACCCTAGATCTTTCCTCAATTACTTTTAGAAGTATGTGTGACAAACACAGTGAACTTGAAGCAAGTGGATGCTGTAGCCAATAGACACCCTAGATCTTTCCTCAATTACTTTTAGAAGTATGTGTGACAAACACAGTGAACTTGAAGCAAGTGGATGCTGTAGCCAATAGACACCCTAGATCTTTCCTCAATTACTTTTAGAAGTATGTGTGACAAACACAGTGAACTTGAAGCAAGCGGATGCTGTAGCCAATAGACACCCTAGATCTTTCCTCAATTACTTTTAGAAGTATGTGTGACAAACACAGTGAACTTGAAGCAAGTGGATGCTGTAGCCAATAGACACCCTAGATCTTTCCTCAATTACTTTTAGAAGTATGTGTGACAAACACAGTGAACTTGAAGCAAGTGGATGCTGTAGCCAATAGACACCCTAGATCTTTCCTCAATTACTTTTAGAAGTATGTGTGACAAACACAGTGAACTTGAAGCAAGTGGATGCTGTAGCCAATAGACACCCTAGATCTTTCCTCAATTACTTTTAGAAGTATGTGTGACAAACACAGTGAACTTGAAGCAAGTGGATGCTGTAGCCAATAGACACCCTAGATCTTTCCTCAATTACTTTTAGAAGTATGTGTGACAAACACAGTGAACTTGAAGCAAGTGGATGCTGTAGCCAAACACCCAACTTTCCCTCAGTATGTGTACAGCAGCCAATAGACACCCTAGATCTTTCCTCAATTACTTTTAGAAGTATGTGTGACAAACACAGTGAACTTGAAGCAAGTGGATGCTGTAGCCAATAGACACCCTAGATCTTTCCTCAATTACTTTTCCAAATGTAGATTCGCTTCCACCCAATAAGATCATGATGGTATTTTTCCTTACCAGTAAAAAGAATCTCCATTTCCCATCACTCATCATACAAAACACAGCAGCATTATTCTGCTATTTTACGCTGGTATTCTGTGCTAGCGAAATCCTTCCCCGGTCGAGACGACGAACAGCGGAGCTCTAACACGTAAAAAGAGATTGGCTTTAGAATTTAGTTAATTATACGGGGCGGCCAAAACGTATCATTTAATACAAAATGGATTCCATATAAATTTGTTCACTATGTTAAACAAATGCCCAGGCATTGAGGTATTACTACTAGGTTACGCTAGTAATATAGTTCGATGTGCCCAGGTCGAAAAATGAACACGCTGGCTATACCTAGTTGGTCGTTATGTATTTCCGGTAACTGTCAAAATCGTTAACAAGGAACGTATCCATTACTCATCTGGCGGGGCATACTCACTATCAAAAGATGATGCATGTGTTTTTATCTGTTGCAAGCATTTTATTCGCGCCGAATTCAAAATCAAGTAATGATGCTGTCGAATGCATCCATCAACTCTATCTCCTAGTCTCTTTCTACTCCCTTATCTCACTCTATTATTTTAGTCCTAATTTTAGAACTCACAGTATGTATTATATATACCGAATACAATACACAAATATACACGAAAAAATCACAAACAAAATAGCAGTGTAATAAAAATCAGATAAATAATAATACAATCAGTTAAACTTATTTGATTTTATTCACAGTAATGTGATTTAAAAGAAATATGAAAACGGACAAAAACGGTGAGGTGAGGATTCCAGTTTTAATATTGAAAGCATTGTTAGGAATATAATTTATCTCTAATGAAATTAGCTTAAAACGTAAAATTAAATATAAGCGCTTTATTATTGAAACGATAATGGTCGCACTTGCACTGCATCCGCCATTTGCATTTCACTTTGGGCGGGAAAAGAAAATGGATGTTTCCTTACGTTTTTATCCGGTATAATTCATCTACAACATTGAGAAAGTGAATCATTAGAAACTGCGCTTATTTTATGAGTACCTTTTACAGTGCGTTTAATCGAGAGCTTGTGATTGTTTACGTGATTTCATCTCGCATGTTTTCCACTAAGGAATGGTGATCCACAGACCACAGAGTTATATACTACAAAGTTACTGAAGCGAATCGATTCTGACATTTTGGGATAGCCTCGATTTCTGTTAGAAATAACTGTGTTAAATAAACTAAAAATAGAAAGTAAAGTAGTAATAAACATTGTAGGTCATTCCATAGCCAACACCTCTAGAACCTACTTTATTTTTTATTTTCATAGTTTAATCTATTTCATGTTTTATCATTATTATTCACTTGAACATCATGAATAAAATAAATTTCAACACTTTTATTGGTTAATAGAATCTTTTATGGTTATTTAGTTCTTTGCTCTTATGTATTTTATTATCATCCAGCGGTTCTGAATTTTTATCATCATCACCATTACATCCTATCAAACGTCTAATGCTCTCCCATAAATGTACTAATAACACAGGCTCTCCCATAAATGTACTAATAACACAGGCTCTCCCATAAATGTACTAATATAAGTAAGTTTATTATACATAAACACTCTTTAGAACTTCAAAATCTACACAATAAATAATAAACACATAATTTAACATGGTAGATCTACGCTGCAGTTATATTATGGTACGGCATGAATGGGTCGGCTCAACCGGGGAGGAGCACGCTCTCACAGAATACCAGCGTGAAATAGCAGCTTAATAATGTTATGTTTCGCATCATGAGTGTAGACACATAATCTTTTTACTTATAACAAGTCTTTCTATTTTAGTCCCTAAGGTTGACAAAGCATCTTCAGTTTGATTATGAATCAAAGACAGATGCAAGTGTCTATTGGAACATTGCATCCCCTTACCATCAGGTTGACTGTGTGCTCGTTTGTCATGCTTATTGTTTAAAAATATTAAATGTCTTTCGCACAGATATGCTTGAGATATATTTTATTAAATTCTTTTACCGTTTACCACACCACAATAAATACTATTGGTATTGCTTGTGCCGCTTGTGCGGCGCGCGAAATCTCGTAATTTTCGCTCTAAAACAAAACCTATATTTTCAGACCAATTTTAATCCACTGTAATTTTAAGTTATTACATAATTTCAAGTTATTACATAACTTAAAACCTAGCGTATTTTAGTTACTTAAGCATTAAGTTATTAGTTGTGTAATGAAACTGGTTTTACTTATTTTGTCGCATTTTATTTACTAAATTTTATTTTATATACTCGACGTTTTGCATCTTATATTATTTACCTTTACACCTGATACAATAGCATTAAGCTGCAGCTTATGAGCGTGGTTCTTCGCTGGTCGTGCCAACCCATTAGTGCTACAAGCATTATATACCTAGAACATGCATCAGCTATAATAATTTATATAGGTGGTGATTCTCAAAAGTCGCCACCACGGGATTATTACATCATTATAATTATTGTATTTTTCATCTTTTCAGATACGACAGCTCCCTACGTGTTATACAAAGATGGAGTGGAGCGAGCACCACCAGGCACGCAATGGGGTAGCGGAGTCCTTGATGGGGGCTACCAAACGATGCAGCACCAAAGTCCCAGCGGACCGTCGCCACAGCCCGAACCACAACTGGCTTCACCGGCGCCTTCACCTTATCCCCCAGCTCCACCTCCCCCCGATCCAACGACAGCCGAAGATGCAGCGCAACAGCTCGCCCAGCAACAAGCTCAACAACAAGCACAACAACAACAACAGGCACAGCAACAACAAACGTCACCCGACCATATGCAGGTCGAACAGCAGTTACAGAGCCAAGGGCAGCCGCAGTCTAACCAAGATCACTTAGACCGAGGACCCTGCTTTGTACAACCAGACTTGCAGCAACAATATACCCCATACTTTAAAGAAACGAGGCCAACCAGCCACATGTTGGGAACCGGTGGTTTCCCACTACACTATCTCAAACAGAACGGTGGTGTGTTATCACTAGAAGGTCCGCTCGACCAATATGGTGCACCAGATCTACGTCATTTGCCCGACATAGTCCAGCCAGAGCCAACAAAGCCAAGGAAACACAACCCAAATTCTGAGCTGCGCCTTTTCAAATGTCTCACGTGCGGGAAAGACTTCAAACAAAAATCAACCCTTCTGCAGCACGAGCGCATCCACACAGACTCTCGGCCGTACGGGTGTCCGGAATGCGGCAAGCGGTTTCGCCAGCAGTCTCACCTCACGCAGCATCTCCGCATCCACGCGAACGAGAAGCCGTACGCGTGCGTGTACTGCCCGCGCTCGTTCCGGCAGCGCGCCATCCTCAACCAGCACCTACGCATCCATTCCGGTGAGAAGCCATATACGTGCGGCGAGTGCGGCAAACATTTCCGCCAGAAGGCCATCCTGAACCAGCACGTCCGCACACACCAAGGCGAGCGATATTCACACATATATGCCCCCGCCCGCTCCCCGCGTGCGTCGCCCGCACTCACCCTAACCGATCGAGTCAGTGCCAGCGCCGCCCGCGATCCCCGCCGCCCTTACCTCGTTCGATTCGGTCTCGCATCCATTGGCCTTCCTATCAGTCAAATTCTCGGTCCCCTTGTCGCCCGCGCTGCGGAGGGCGCTCGCGAGACGCGGAACCGATCGCCGGACGCTCCCGTAACCGTCCTCAGTTCGATTAACCCACTCGTCGTTTATCCTTCATTACACAAGTCGGACATATAACTGATCAAACTCTTTGATTTTTACAGACGTTTCGCCACATCTCATCTTCAAGAACGGGACGACGCCGACGCTGTGGCCCCAGGATGTACCCTTTCCGCCAGACGAAAATAAAGAAGAGATCCAGTCGACGTTCGGCGACGCAGACGGACAAAACGGAGAACAAAGGGGTTCATGCTTCTCTCCGGGCGACACAGCCCAATACCCAGCATATTTTAAGGATACGAAAGGTCTCAATCATGCCGTATTTGGCTCTAGCCTTTCCCTTCAGTACCTGAAGGGTGGTAAGCTGCCTGACGTGTTAGGAGGCCGGGCTATGCCATTATACGTACGTTGCCCTATTTGCCAAAAAGAATTCAAACAGAAGTCAACGCTCCTGCAACATGGTTGCATCCACATCGAGTCACGACCATATCCATGCCCGGAATGTGGTAAACGTTTTCGCCAACAGTCACATTTAACGCAACATCTGCGCATCCACACCAATGAAAAACCATACGGCTGCGTTTACTGTCCCCGTTTCTTTCGGCAGCGGACAATACTTAACCAGCATCTCCGCATTCACACCGGAGAGAAACCGTACAAATGCACTCAATGCGGTAAGGACTTCAGGCAGAAGGCGATTCTGGACCAGCACACGCGAACGCATCAGGGCGATCGACCGTTCTGCTGCCCGATGCCCAACTGTCGGCGGCGCTTCGCTACCGAACCGGAGGTGAAGAAGCACATCGACAACCACATGAACCCGCACGCCGCTAAAGCGAGACGGGCTGACGCGAAGACTCCTCGGCCGCTGCCACCCGCGGCGGCGGTAGTGAAGCCTGAGCTGTACTTCCCGCAGTGCTATGCGCCGCCGTTCCAACAGTTCTCCTCCGGCGGCGAGTTCAAGCCGGCGGTGGGGCCTGGCGCACCCGTGGCGTGCCTGCCGGCGCAGTGACCCGCGCCGCCGCCGCGATGGCACCCGGCGCCCTCACACGCGCCAACTCACCACGACTTGTACGTCGCCGACCGCCTTTACCAATAAAGTTTTGGAACGTCCAGCACCCCAAAAACGTGATCAACGTGGCTTTACAACAGTATACGACTCGCCAACGCGAGCTTATAATACAAATACGAATGACAATTACTATGATTAACTCGGATCGCTGTAAAACACGCTTTGGCCTGTAAATAAAAATAAAGTTTATACTCTATCGGAAGTCTGTCGAATATGCAGTAAGAGAGTCATGATTAGTGTTACCGTTGAGCATGAGAACGCAGGTGACATTTTCGCCCCGTAATATTAAGTTACCAAATAAGAATTAGTTACTCGGTGATTCTTGCCGGTATGATCGAAACGCTGATTGATCGAAGCAGATCGAACCAGAGATTAGACTTTAAAAACTCTTCATTGAAATCTAAACACGTAACAATTGCTCTTTTACCACTTAACAGTATTTCGCGATGAATGTTTTCGGCACATCGCTTTGTGCCTATTTGTAACAAATATACATATATTTTGTAGAGTTATTAAGTTAATTTTATTTACGTGTGTTAAGAGATGTAAACTGGCAAACTTAGGGTGCGATGTAAGAATAATCGATGCTCAAAATATCGTTAAAGTAATGGTAAATATTTAATGAATTTATGCGTAATTAGGCCAAAAACAGAGCAACCAGATAGAAAGGATCGCTAGAAACAGTTAAAACGAGAATGCAAACCAAAAACGTAGGTTACCTTCTGCCATCAACATTTTTTTTTGTTTATTAGTACTAACAAAAACTCTGTTATTACATTTAATTACCATTAATGAAATATAATATGAGATTATTGATATACATTTGTAACACTATAGGTGCCAAATAATGTAGTAATTTTGAATTTTTTCTGTCACCTTATATTAAAATAGGCCTAGTTTAGGTTGTTACCAGTTTTCCAACGATACGACAATTTGAAATACATTTACATGGAAAGGGTCAGACTGACAAAGGACTGTGATAGCTAGATAGGTTAGGTGTCGCTCACTTAGCGTTAAAATATAATGTATCGTGTCGAAATGTGATTGGGGAATCATTTTGGGGTCGTGTGAATGTTTTGAAATTGTTTCATCGAAGTTTGTATAAAGCTTCTCTTTTATTGTGGTTAGGATGACTCGAATTTGCCAAACATAATCTAAAAAAATACGTTTTTTGTTCCTAAATTAATCGAAATTTGCATTTATTTATAAGGCTGGCTGACGCCGATCCGTTGCCTTCTTTCTCTTGACTGAATTGATAAATTAATTATGAAGAGTGAGATTATTGAATTTACCCATTAGGTAACGCGTGTGATGTTATGAAGTGCTTCTTGTTCGGGTTTGAGACGGATGTACGCCAGAGTAATCTTTCTGCTTATTTTAAGCTTAGACTATCGAATCTCGAATTACCAAGCAATTCGATCATTCATCGCGAAATAAATTTAGCTTTAGGGAGAATAAAAATATATATGAATTTGTCATATTGCTGAAGTATTCTGATATTGGTCGAGGCGTCCTCGGTCAATTCACGTCCACAATAGTTTCTGATAGACATAGAAATCGGGTTAATTTCAATTTGAATGGTTAGCAACACTGCGACGTATTATTTTAAAAAGCTATTGTAGAATCTTTAATTACCGTAAATTTAGGACTATAATAGCTTGTGTTCAAAGTATACACCATTAAGTGTTGCTATCATAAAATGACAACGTAACTTAATTTTAAACAGGGAGATATATGAAATATATCAAGTTTGTTATATTATTGAATCTGTTATGACGAGTCGCTCGGACTATAAACACTGTAACAAACAATATCAGAATATTTCATCAGTTCTTTTTAACGTTTTATCATCTCTGTTTGTAACTATAGACAACTTATATTATATAGCTTATTTTATGATATTATTGTGATGGTTTCGTTTTCCTACCGCTTAAGGACTGTTACGTATTAACTATTAAATGTAATAGTGTGCAAATTTGTGGGAGTACGCGGAGTCACATCACAGTCGGACACCAGCTCGTATATACTTTAACACTTTTTTAAGTGAATAACGCAATAGTTTGTTCATTAGGTTCAATGTATTTTTTTTAAATTATCGCCCTTTGGACAGTTTTGAGAAATTTACGCGAATCAGTTTTGATTGAAAATGCAATATAAACATTCAACAAATCGAACTAAATATCGCACAGACAAGGTCACCGTTAATTTTGACAGTAGCCTAGCATTTGAATCAAAATTGAGGAGCTCCGTCAACAAATTTAGTTTCCGATTGTTTTTCCTATCAAACTTTTGGAGGTTTACAAATCAAAAACGTCATTATCGAAGAAAATTAAATGTTATCTTTTGTGACTAGAACTTTCAACAGCGTTTACAATATGTGATCCTCCTAAGGTGCCGCACGCCGCTCGAAAGCCGCCAAGACAATAGACTAGATTTCTGTTTCTACCAGGGTTCAACTTTATAACTGTTCGTATTTAAATATTATAGAAAGAAACTGTATTCATCAAACAAAATATCAATGTAAGCAAGTCGCACTCAACGCAAGTCTTGCAAATCAAACCTTGTAACATTTGTAAACTGCCAATCGTTCGTAAATCATAACCAACCAACATACAATATATTATGGAAGATGACGAGAAATACGATTAGTTAATAAAAATTGAATCCTGTTTATCTTTAAGCCACATCACAGCAGCCTTAAACAATAATAGTTATAAGTATTTTTATACATTTTATGGAATAATTATTTACAAAACTTCGAAGCGGCGCGCGGAGCCCTAGCACAAAGTTTGAATACAAATACATACAATACAGTGCCATAGCCGTCGAATAACCTCAGATTTATACTTACTAGATTTTTATACCGATACAAATGGATTTAATTTTTAAATATAAACAAAGGTGATTAAGTATACAGAGATTACAGATGATATTTTATACATTTATTACAAACAATATTATTAAAAGTAATTGTGAAATAGACTTAAATTTTAGTATACTACTGCAACGTGCTATGTACCTTATATTCAATCTAGCCTGTGTCAATCGTCGTCGTCATGACCCACTTGTATGGTGATCGGTTTTAAAAGATTCGATCATTTAAAATTTGATGAATGCTGAACTGGCTAGAATCGTGCTATTAATAATACTGTGATCTGTTTATTGGTTGAATAGTAAATAAACGAAGGAGACAGAAGACATTTGGTTGTTAGTCGTTGTCATGATTCGTGTGTCGTTGTGTGATTGATTTCACGACTCGATCGATTGTATGTATGTAAACATATGCATATAAAGTACAATTTTTTTTGTCTTACCATCTTGAAATCGGGTCAAATAAGATCGATTCTTTTGGAGATCCATGATTCGATCGAATCAAAAAGATTCGATCAACCGCGATCGCGATCGACACAGGTCTAATTCAATTTAATAAAGCAGGTTTTTTATAAGTTAGCGCGAGTGTGATAAATTGACACACATAGACGGTCAATTATGCACGGCCGTTATAGTGTCCGAATTATTTCAGGTACATTATTTTAGCATGTTTTAAATGTCGTATATTATGAGCGTGTTTAGTGTACATATCACAGATAAAAAATCAGGCAGTGCTACAATAACTACGCGTACTTATTTAGTCATTTTCTCAAAAGTGAATGAGCGTAACAAAATAATCAAAATAAGTGTTTTATGATGATATAAGAAACGAAATATTCTTTCCAGGCTGTTCTATTTGCATTGCTCAGTGTTTCGTTAAGTTTTGCTCAATTACTCGTGTACGTACAACCTTAAACGTTATTCGCGTTAGATTAATGCGTCATAATTTACGAGTTTTTTTTCTTTGTACAATACATTTAGAGAGCACGGTTTTGCTTTTCTTATAACATTACTTGTTAAGTACTGTAGTTACTCTTGAAGGCAGTCTTATGTAGTGAATATCAAAATCATTTCTTCCGCTCCCCGTTGCAAGAATAAATTATGAAACATAGTATAGTTACTCGTATAAGCGTGCCGTCCAGTTTGTTCTTTAAAAGGCCCACACACATTTATTTTTAATACAATTCAGCTGCATTTTTGTCTGTTCCTAGCATACAATTCGGTTTTACCACAGGGGTTTATGTTTATGTTATTATATTATATAACGCCGCGAGGGGAAGCAAAGCTATAAAGATTTGTCATGTTATTGCTGCTTATAGAATGTATAGGAATCAAATTCCGGAGTAATACAGTCGCATAATAAATTTCTCCGCATTATATTGTAAGAATTTATTAAAAATACCTTTATTTATCACTACTTATGTTTGTGTGCTACCATTTATAACATAATATACTTACTTATTTTGTATATTTTTAAGTTGTTACTTTAAAAAAGGAGAGAATAAGATTGCATTGTGGAAATAAACTTTGCATAAAACTAATTGTAATGTCAATTGTATTAAATACAATTTTAAAAGTTATTCAGAAACTTCGCTAAGGTTAATAGCAAAAATAGAGTTATTTAGTTGAGCTATATAGTTGTTTACATCACTATATAACACAAGCAATCTCTTAACAATTCCTCTTTGAACAATTAAATTGCATTTATTTATGATCTCATGGCATTCGACAAATACGTTGTACTGATTGGCGCACTAAAATTTATAAGCAAAATTGTTTACCTTACATTTTCTTAATATTTGATATTTACATGGCAACATATTGTACTTATTTAATGAAGTTGTCATTAACTAAGTTATAATATTTTAGTCTGATTTTTTAAACACTCCAACCAACTCCAAATTTTTTATATTAAAAAATAACAAGTGAATGAAACAAAACTCATTTGTTAATTTGTGATTTTAAAATCTACTACGATGACTGTAATAACAATTTATGACAACTCTAAGTTTTTACCTTGTTGATCTATTATTTTATATTCCGCTAAGAGATTTTTTGGAGATTCTTAT